TTTGAAAAATAAATCTGTTCTTTTTTTCTTATAAAAGTCTAAATAAAACAAAAATATTGGTGGTAATTTTTGACTGTGTAACTTTACAAACAGCAGCCCATGGCTATGCTAATCGGAGGAAGTAAAGGGAGGGAAAAAGCTGCTAAGTGGAATGAGATAAAAATAAATGTGATGGTCTAGTTACCCTCTTGGCAACGCCCAGCCCTTTAGAGCCGATGCCCCCCCGGTAGCCCCCCACGGAACCCACAGGAAAAACTGTTTTTGTTTAGCTGTGATAGTTTTTCAGATGTGTCACCAAGGAACGGCGCTGCTCCTGCAGAAATGCTTTGTGGGTTTGTGTTTCCGGAACTGACCGAACGGCTCTTTCTGTCCGTTTGCCAGGCCCTCCGTACTGGACGTCGCCGGCGAAGATGGAGAAGAGGCTGCACGCGGTGCCGGCCGCCAACACGGTCAAGTTCCGCTGCGCCGCGGGATGCAACCCCAGGCCAACGCTGCGCTGGCTCAAAAACGGCAAGCCTTTCCGCCAAGAGGACCGCATGGGAGGATATAAGGTACRTTAAGCATCAAATCTTTACATCAACTGTTTTCTGAACGTATTTCGAAGGAGTGAAGGGGGGGCGTCCTGCCTCCTCCTCCTCACATCTCGTCCTTTCACCTCTTTTCCACCCTTCGCTGGAGAGACGGGAGGAGACGGAGGAAACCGGGGCAGGGTTTCTGGTGTGAAATTGGAATTGCTCATCCGTGCTCCTCCTCTCATCGGGACCCTCTGCAGACCCTCTCACTGTAACTTGAAAGGGTCCCTCACCCCCCATCAATTAGAAACACAAGCCCGGGACTTGAGGGTTAAATGCTCTCAGACAGTAATGTATAGAGAAAGTAGGGTTGAAGTGAGTTCAGGACGTTGAGGTAACTCAGTCAGGGAGAACAGGGTGGGAGTTAATATGTTATTTTGACGTGTATGTGTGGGGGGGCTGCCGTAGTTCGGTGGTCTCTGCTGCATGTTTGACTTCAGCAGCCTACATACGTAGCATGAATTCACATCTTTCATAACAATCATTTTTAGACTGATGCTTTGTGCAGGGGCGGAGCTAGACTTTTCTGCAAGGGGTGGCCCTTGGTGTTTTTTAGGGGGGCCCATATAAATAAAAAAAAACACTTTGAAGTGAAAATTTCAAAATGGTTGCCACAGCTAATTCCAAATGGCTTTAATTCAGCTGTTTTAAAACAATACTGAGCGGAAAYTTTATGTGATCATAGCTAAAAATGATAAAAAAAAGAACACAATTGCTAGTCACAACTTATTATTCAGCCATTTTTAGACAAACAAAGCTGAAGATTAGTGTAGAAGTAGCCGAAACACTCTTTATCAAATTCTAAATGCTAATCAAACATTTAAGATGGCCACCACAGCTAACTTTAACAGGCTAAATTTCAGCCATTTCAAGACATATTGTCATTAATTTGTTGTGTTAGCTAATCCCAAAAATAAGCTAACTACTAATGCTTATTTCATAAAGTGCTATAATTTAGTCATTTTTAGACAAACAAAGCTGAAGATTGGTGTAGAAGTAGCCAAAAACAGTCTTCGTCAAAATCTAAATGCTAATAAAAAWTTAAAGATGGCCGCCACAGCTAACTTAAAAAAGATACAATTCAGCTATTTTAAGACTTATTAAATTTGTTGTGGAGTAGCTAAGAATGATCACAGCCTGATTGCCAATGCTAATGCCAAAATAAGCTAACAACTAATGCTAATTTTATAAAAGGTATAATTCAGCCATTTGTAAACATGCACTGGTAGAATCAGAAAATAGTCTTCAGCAAAATCTACAAAATCCAAGATCACCACCCACATGGGGGTGGCCAATCAAGCTCCAGAGGTGCCACTTGCCCCCCACCCCCTGGCTACACCCCTGGGTTGTTGATGTTTTTACCAGTTTAAGCTGAAAGTTGGGAAATGGTTTGTCAAAAAGGCTCTGGTGCTGAGACCGAGGATAATAACTGATGGGTAACGAAAGATAAAAGGTGATGTAGATGCTAACGTTGCTTGGCTTTTAGCTGACTCATTACAGCTAAAAACAAAAATAAATAAATGAATAAAAATAAAAATCTGCCAGGGAAATGCGACAGCCAGCCTGTCAGTTACACTTCAGGCAGTTCATTCCTCTGTTTTAGTCAACAACTCTTAGACAAAAGGTGTACCTGAGCCCGGCCCTCTGGATTTACCTGCCCTTTGTGTGACAGGCAGGYCTGTATAAGCAGTGGTTACTGTGGTGCTTCAGTCTGCAGCTAGAAACCTTATTGTTGACTCACACCTGTGAATTCCACACACAGGTGAAGCACCTGCTGCAGGTAAATCTGAATAACTGCATGCTTCGGCTGCAAGGGTGGGGCTTTCTACGTACAAAGGCAGTGAGTGACGGGAGTCAGAAATTTGTGGGACTCTTTTTTTAAATCTTTCGTTACCCTAAACCTTCCCTCCTGTCGTTTTCTTTTTTTTCTTCTCATGTAGTTCTTTAATGTTTGTCCTGCCTTGAAACAGGTGCGGCCCCAGCACTGGACCCTGATCATGGAGAGTGTGGTGCCGTCAGACAAGGGGAACTACACCTGCCTGGTGGAGAACAAGTTCGGCTCCATCAGCCACACCTACACGCTGGATGTCGTGGGTCAGTACCTTTCGCACGGTGCACTCTCAGCCTCGTTCACCTGTGAGATTAACGGGGCGCGTGTCTGTTAACATTCAGCGGAAAGCCAGCGYGCCGTTTTGTATTCGTTTTATTTTGAAGTATCATATCTGCTTCCTGTTCAGCCTGTGTCCGTGTGCAGTGCATCAAACTTGACATCTAGGCCCTCCTCTTTCGATTGACACCTCATTTAACCAATTGGGTTCAAGTATCGGCTGTCTAGGGCCAATAATATATCAGAAATGACCAACTTCAGGTTTTCGTCTTTCTAGCTTTGATTGACTGTAAAATTGGCCAATCAGCTCCAAGCTTTGATCTGATGCCACAGCTGTGTAGCCAATCACCATACCTTTCATTTAATGTGTATATAGAGGGGGTGGGAACTTTGTCCTGTGATGGAAGATGATAACACAGTGGAGGCAGCCATATTTTGTCAGTGTTACTATGCTAACGAAGGAGCTAACGCTCACAGGAAAACATTGTTTTCCATCGTTTTTTTGACAGTTAGCTGAATAAACCTGCTGATAAGATGAAAATATTAAGTGTTTCGAGTGCTTCAAGACATGGAAGAGTGATTTTTGTGGCCAGGAGAAGTAAAAATATTTGGATAAAAGTCTTCCGGTCGCCATTTTGAATCGCTAATTTAGACATATTTGAGGACAAATATGCATCAAAAGTGAGTGAAAAACAAATATTTTTTTTGCTGCTGGTGGTTTTATAAGCTGTGTGGAATGTTAATGCTCTGAAACATATAAGGATATATTGTTTATTCGTGTGGTTTGGCTGGTTATTGGTGGAAATTTGGCTGAAATTAGTGTTGGTGTAAATATTTATGAGTACTAATATATTTATTTTAATTTAATCATGCTGTGAGTAAATATAGATGGTAGAATGTGTTTTGTGGGGTTTTATCTTTAATTTGAGCSCAGAGAGAAGTCCATGTGTTGAAAATACAGTGTTTTAGACAAACTGTACAGTTTGGACATATGTAAGTGAGTACAAATATGCAAATGAGACATGCTAGATTGTACTATGTATCAAATATCCATATTTTATGCTACTGTTACCAAATTTGAACTGGTAATAGTTGAGAATTAATATTTTAGCCCAGTAAAATTTGTTTGATAATATCTCATTCCCTTCATATTCTGATACTTTATTAATAAAAAAATAAAAATTTAGGGAGAAAAATATCTAGATTTCTGTGTATTTTACTTCAATATACTAAATACTAGTTAGAGTTACAAAGAATATGACTGCTGAAGTTAAAAATTCAGATTATTAGCTTTAAAAAGAGACCAAGCTTGTGAATTTACTCTAAAGGGTTCAAAAGCAGTACTTCATGTAATTTGTGTACTTTTTAAGGCGTTTTATGGTATTTTATGCCCGAAGTTTACAAAGAGTTCCCAAAGTCAGGTGTGTGTGTGTGTGTGTGTGTGTGTGTGTGTGTGTGTGTGTGTGTGCTGTTTGATTGGCCAGGTGTTCTCTGAATGCAGGTGGTCAAGGACCGCTGCCAAGTTTGCAAAGGCTACAGATGAACATGTCAACAGTTTCAGTGTCATTTTAATTATTTTATATYCTAACGTTTCAGTTTTAAATTACCTGAAGTCGCACCTGGACGGAGGCATGTCGCCGCGTTAGATAGACGTTTTTGTTAGCGAAGCAACGACTTGAGGCTCATTCGAAGTTCATTATTGCTAGAAATAAAAATAAAAACATTTGACAGTGATGGTTTTTTACACACAACAAAGCTTTGCATTGAAGCAGCTTTATTATTGTGTGCTGCTCATCCAGGTCATGATCAATMAAAAAAAGGTTAAAAAACAAAACAACTGGACTTTGATTGTTTTTTAGTCTCATTCTGCCTCATTTGGAGCTCTGCAGCTCTGACAGTTTTCACATCATTTAAAGTTAAACAGATCACAAAACGTTGGATTTAATGCTTGTGAGATGGATTTTTTTTATATCTTTAATGGGTTTTGCACAATCACAGTCAAGGTTCTATGAGTTTCTCCAGTTTTTGTCACGAAATGGCCAATTTATTTAACACCAAATACTCTTTACTTCCATATTTTTTGTGACACACGTATAAATTCTATATAAAAATGTGTGGCTGTTCATGTGTTTTTATCCAGTGTCGCTCTCTGCTATCAGACTTATGTTTTGTTTCAAAGTGCGCCTGCTCGAGTTTTGTTGTGGCACGATTTACCAAGAATGCAGAAACAAGTTGGAATAAATGCACAGAAATTCAGCGTGTATGGTCGTCAAGTGATTTAATACTGAGCGACAACACAGCAGAGGTCAATCAGGAAGTCTGTCGTGTTGTGGCTGGCCCCTCGTCGGGGAATCGCCGATAATATAACATCATGTGACATGCTTACAACCAATCACAGATTGCCAACTGTGACCACCTAACCAATGACAAGACAGTCAGCCTGGAAACACCTTATCAAAATAAAATAGGTCATACATTGCTGGAGTCTTGAAGTCTGAGCCGATAGAGTAAAACAGCCGAAATTAGTTAATCATAAGATATGATTACTGGACAATGTCAAGGTAGAACAGATATAAATCATTAGTCCATAACAATCCCTCTTCTTGAGTAAACAATACTCAAAACCAAAACAAATGGAATAATTATTAAACGTCCAAACACAAATGCATTACTCAACAACAAATACAATGAAAAAATAAGGGAAAAATAGTGCAAGTTAGATGATGACCAAAAACATATACATTCAATCAATGTAAGATACACACATGTCGAAAAACATGTCGAAATTTAAAAAACTTAAATCCAAAACTTAGACAAGGTATCACAAGTTCTGCCTCCCAGTGAATTAGTAGTGGCATGTACCACTTATGTGCCATCAGAATCTTATGGATAATGTGTTAACTTAATAACAACTAGTTGTCAATAAATGAACCTTAAGTAATGCAAATTAGGACAAGGTGAGTTGAAGAAATGCTGAAGGCATTWACTTCTAGCAAAGCGATTGGACAAGTTCAAAAGCAAATCATAAATGAAAAACAACAACYTTCATGATTAAATGTGCAAAATTCAGTTTCCCACCCCATTCAGGTAAACTTTATTCCACCCCAAACAATTCAAAATCGCTTTAGTCAAAAACCACAGTGCCCATAAGGCATGAGCTCAAAATGTATGGATTACTGGCATGAGCTGCTTGTGCAATGAAAAAAGAAGAAAACAACAAGAAGCTTTAGTTTAATTTTTGCTGCTTTTTATAAACCTGAAAGTGTTGGGGTCTTTGGGGTCATATCTCCTCAGTAAAAGTGTGGAAACATAACAACACACACACACGTGACCCTCAGTCTTCTGTTGTTCACAGTTCAAGAACTTTAAAGATCGAACTTATAGTTTTTACACAGCGGACGTTTGTTTGAGGCTTCAGCTTACGTTTGTGTCAATAATTCGATTTTTGTTGTTTTGATTTTTATGAAAGTCGTGTTTTAATTTCGACCAGTAGCTGCATCGACGCCGGTCAAAGTTTCTTCAGAAATATTTTTGTCGTTTTGTGCGACGGCCCAGAAATGCGTATTTTTGGTCAGTTTTTTTGTCCCTRAACAGGCTCTGGATGTTTGTCAGTGACTTTAGCAAACAAAATGCTGGCCTCAGCGAGTTCAGAGCCGCCTCGGTCAGCCTCTCTTTGTGACCTTTGGAGCGCTGAAAGAAACGAGTGTTTTTCTGCTCGGTTTACAGAATCGATGGACGGCGGGGGGGACAACATGTGTGTGTGTGTGTGTGTGGGGGGTATGATAGTAGATCAATGTGTGTTTGTGTGAGCGTATGCTAACTTTGCTCTTTAGATGATTTGGACCTGCTCTCCCTTTGGACTCGCTGACCCACTTTGTGAGCTATCTGTGCACATCAGAGTTTATCTGATGCAGTCATTCTTTTAAACGCTGGTCAGYGAACCACAGATAACCAGAACAGACACGAGGCTGCTGCGGTCCAAAGAATCGGACCGGTCTTTTCAGCCCCACAACTCTCACCACTGCCCTGATGTAATCACCAGGAGAATGTGGGAGATGTTTCAGCCTGCTCTATCTTCTGTCTTTTAGCGAAAACTCACTCGAACCTGTAAGAAATATTCGTGTTCAAAGACTGAAGTCAGTAGAAAACCACCAATATTAAATAATATGATTGTTAGACGAAATAAAACCAAACAAAACCAGAATTCTGGAGTGAGGGTTTATTGCCATTCGGAGCTGACAGGAAACCACRCACYSCCCRCAAACCAGGAAGTTGATCCATTTATAGAGTCTTCAATGCCCGCGTTCGCCCCCTACTGACCTACGGCTGAATCACAGGCGTTCATATAAAATTCTCACCTACTGTTCTCATAACGGATAAATA